TAGGGATAGATCTATGTCTTTACGGATAGATCTATGTCTTTAGGGATAGATCTATGTCTTTACGGATAGATTTATGTCTTTGTCTATTCCACTGTGTCCATAATTTGTCTCCACCTCCACCCCTACTCTTCTTAACCACCCGCCCCCCAAAACCCAACTGACCCCTACCCCTTTTCACCCCAAAATCTCCCCCTTCCCACCTCCCAACGTGTCAGGTTTGACGACAACTGGGACGATAAGTACACGAAAGTTCACCGACCCAAACGACAGAACAGACAGAGGTCAAAGGTGTCCCAGGTCTGGGGGTATCCGGAGTTACTTTTTCCTGTGTTTGGGCTCTAAATTAAGTATACTGGGATTCCCAATAACCGATATGGGTCAAGAAACAGAAACACACTATCCCTATATATCAATTCATTGTCAATTTTCTGAATTCTTTCCATGCAATGGGTTCGACAGATCAAAATTCGAGCAAATTCCATGCAGGGATTCTGAAAAGAGATTGAATTGATACAGCGTCGATTTTTTCACACAGTGTTTCTGTACGCACAACCTGTAACGTACTAAAGATTTACTTTCGTTTGTCTCATACTTTTCTTGTAACTGCTCTTTTAATGTCATATACGATACTAGGACCAAAAAATTGATCACAAATCAGAGTGATACTGTCAATATTTTTTACACTGACTGAAAACTTATCATAATATCACACTATTCTTTTAGTACGTTGCAAACATATTATCTAGAAACTGTTGGTTGATGATGAAGGGACACAAAACCAGAAGGTGGGGCTGCCTGGTGCAGGGTGAGAAAAGCAATGATGATGACGATGAAATTGTTCAAACTCCACCTGTAAAGTTAATGTATCAATTTCCGTACGGTCAAAATCAGAGAAGTAACTCATTTTGTCTGCACACCTCACAAAATTTAATGCTAATATTTATACTATTTATTGTCCCCCAGAATATGACGAGGACGGCCGCCCCATGACCCCCGACTACGAGTATGACGAGTACGGAGAACCGTTGCCCTACTACCCGATGTACCCGCCCAAAATGCCGCCGGAACCCGAGCAGAAGTTCCACTACCCGGACGACGGCTACGACTACGACAACGACACCTACACCTGGACGACCGTTGAGAGCCCGCCCCCTCCCTCCCCGGGTAAGTAAGACAGTGGTCGGGCTGTTGTTTCAAAGATTAAAAGCGGCCGTGGGGTTGTTTCAAACAAATTTTGTTTGTTTTGTTTTTGTAAGTGTTTTACGGCGCTCGCAACTGCATAAGGTCATATGAGCGCCACAAGACACATTAAACTTTTTCAGTTGGTAGGAAATTTGGAATTTTGCC